TTTCGTCTGCTTTGAAATGAGGTTTTTTGAAAAACTGCAATTGAAAAACACAAGTCAGGCGATCAACAACAGGATGTTACTACTGGGGGAAACAACAAAGATTTTAATTGCTTTTGGTGTGAACAAACTTATACATGTCTGATTTTATTTCTTATTTAGTGGAATTAACACAATTGCAAATTGTGTTTTTCAACATTAGCAAAATATCAATGAATTCATCTGATGTCAAACTAGGTGCAAATATAAAGAAGAAATGAATTCAGAGTTTGATTTATGAAAAACTTTTCCTACAGATTTTGACCTTTTTTACTTTTTTCTTAAAAAAATTTACTTTAATTACAGAATATTTTCAGAATTATAACTACTTTTCTCAAAATTTTTACTTATTTTTCAGAAGCCGGACCTTTTTCTTAGTTTTTTTATTTTAATTTTAGAAATCTTTTTCTCTGAATTTTCACTTTTTCTCAGAATTCCAAGTTTCTTTGTCTAATTTTTTGCTTAAAGTTTAGAATTCGTAATTCTTTCTGAAAATACTGACTTTTTTAAACTCAAAATTCTAACTTTTTCTCGGAATTCTGACTTTTATTGTTTATTTATTTAATTTATATTCTTTTTTTTTTCTACATGTCAGACAAAAGTAAGGATTCCGTTTTTTTCCTGGCCAATTTTAACTTGAAGGGAAGTAAATTGTAATAAAGTAATGGGGCTGACAGCTCTGCCCTGAGGGACACCGTTTGTACCCAGATAATTTTTTTAGAAATCCGAGTTGTGGGTAGCTGGTGGTTAGACGCTTTCTAATTTTGCCCCTCCAAATGATAGGGATCATCCTGAGGCATACTTTAACTGTGAGCGCCTTTCATTAAAATGTTTACACAGTGCATCCTGAGCTGTGTGGGAGGTAATTTGTGCACCTACCAGGTTGAATCCACTGGAAATATGAGGGTTAGGCTGATTAAGAAGTGCTACATCCTTTGCATTGTGAGCCTTCATGCTGACCTGTATTGACTGGTCAAATCCAGAGGGAATTTCACACCATTAGGCTGCAGAAACCACCACAAATACGGCTTTATTTGTTTTCTTTATTTCGCCACATCGCTGGCCTCTTCTCCCGTCTCTCCCAGGTGAAATCTTTCAGTCTGTTTGCTATAAACACCCCGGCTGATCTCTGGTGATATTTCTGCAGCGCCCTACAGTAATTTGTATTGATCTGTTGTGGCTGCAGAGGTGGATGGGATTCAGACGGACTTTCCAATCAGATTTGGACTGAGAATGCAGCTGAGAAAAGCAACATGGCCGTGTCCCTTCCCCGGCTTGGGGTGTATTTACTTTACATTCTTACATGGACAATTTCCAGAAATATTGTTTTCAGAAATGTCAGTAACAGAGGTTTGTGTAGTTTATTTGCAAGTGGATTCACTTTTTAAATCTTCTTCACCTCCACTGCAAAAACGCAAAATAGCTTCCAGACTAGGAAGCTCGAAACAAGACAAACTAACTTATGAGTAACTTTGCAACAAGCTGTAAGAGATTGTTTTAATCAATAATTCCTTAATATTGATGAAAATGTATTTGATTATTTTATGTGCTGGAGCTCACGTCAGAAATTTAGTAGAAAAACATTCACATTTTTGAGTTTGAAAAAAATCTAAATTTCTAGAAAACACTTTGAAATTTCTGCATTTCAAAGATAAGAAATGTTTGACATTAAAATTGTCAAATTTTATTTTAAAAATTTGCTTTAAAATTTTTTGATTTTCTAGAAAAAACTTTGAAATGTTGCCAATTTGCTAGAAAAAACTACTTTTTTTAAAGAAAACCTTGCAAATTTCTGAGTATCGAAAGACAGAATGTTTTATTTTTAATCTTCAGTTTCCTTGTTTCCTGCAAAATTTCTGAGATTAATCTAAAAGTTTTAAAAGTTTTCTAGCAATTTTACAAATTTCAAACTCAGAAATTTCCATGTTTGCTTCTCTGAACTTTCTAGAAAAAGGTGTGGAAATTTCTGAGTTTGAAAAGTCACAAAAAATATGTTTTATAGAAAATACTGCAAAATTTCAGTGTCAAAACGAGAACATTTTTGCTTTTCAAACTCAGAAATTTCCATTTTTTCTAGCAATTTTTCTACTTTTTAAATTGAAATTTCCACATTTTTCTAGAAAGTTTGACGTCAAGATTTCTGATGTTTTGCTGGAGTTGTGCTGGTGACTCAGTGGCTCATTTACCTGGTATTCAGGAGGAACACCCAACCCAAAGAGTGGATTTCTCAGCATCCTGGGCCGTTCTCCGGTCCACCCCCTCTCTAATTATAGCCCAGTAAAATGTGAAACCAAAGCCCTTGTTTTCCCTCCGCCCCCCGCTGGCTGCTTGGCTCTGGACAGCCTCAGTTTCAGCAGAGCTTGCTGATACTTTGACTCGAAGCGCTCGCTATCAGGGTATCCCGCTTTGTCCGCTATCCGCACTAAGACGTTGAAGTCGGCCTCCGCTTTGTTTGTGTCAACTGCTGTCAATCAGCGCCCGCCGCAGAAGTAACACCTGAGCTTAGCTGGGATTGGGAAGCTCTTTGACTAATCCCTTTGTGGGAGAAAGGTGTGAAATAGTTTGTGAAAGTCAGGGTGACCTGGCTCAGACGGAGACGTTTGGATTCATCCATATTGTGGCTGCAGTGGTAGAAGCGTTAACAAGCATCTCAAAGCAAGTCTCCAGCGACTCATTAGGTTTCCACTCTGCTCTTAAACCTGAAATAAACCTGGGTGGTCAGCATTTTGTTTGTGTTCTCAGTGCATGAAGATCAATTAAAGCTGTTCACACTGCAAAAACACTCAATCCTACCAAGTATCTCCAGTCAAGTTTCTTGTGCAAACACTTTTGAAAACATTCAAAACTAACCGACAACTTTCCGGGAAGAAACAGAAGTAAATAAATTCTTAATGTTGACAGAAAAAGTATCAGATTATTTCACTTATAAAATTGGTAAAATTGGTAAAATGTTTTGTTACAAGTGAAATAATCTGCTCGTTACCTAGCAACCGCAGTGGAGTTCCGTCTGTTACCTAGCAACCGCAACGGAATTCTGCTCGTTACCTAGCAACCGCAGCGGAGTTCCGTCTGTTACCTAGCAACCCAAGCCTGGTCCTTCTGATGATGTCATTTTTAAAGATTAAATGTTTAATAGTTTGATCACTTAGATACTTTTTACCAAAAACTTTTTTACATTTTCACTTGAGTGAAAACATTGTTTATAATTTTCGGCTAATCTATTCACCTCTGAACTTTGCTATCAGTTTTACAGATTTTCTAACACATCAGCATTCGGACTTTGGAACGATTGAACAAACAACCAGAACTCAGTGAGCTTTAGCTGTCAGATGCTGATAACTCCAGAAGCTTCTTCTCTTAAGTTCAAGATGTTCTTCTGGTAAAATTGTGTCTTTATTCTGCTAATATGACTATAATCTCATAACTAAATAGAAATTCTTGTAGCTTGTAGCTACAGGAGCCTCACCACTCCCTCCTGTCCAACATGTCGATGGACACCGTTGGGGTATTGAAGACATCCTCAGCATGTCAGTGACACACATTCGCAGGTCATTAGCAGCTACAGGCAGTTCAGGCTCTGAAAAGGCCTCAGCTTCTCCTGCACTGGTGGGAATATGTGTTTCCAATCACTCCACCTCAGGAATGAATACCTGGCATGCCCTGTGGTCGCAACTCGTTCCCCCTGATTCTTGTCCGATCGGTTTACAGTAAACAGCAGGCGGAGAGTCTGTCTGTGGGCTTGGGAACGGGATGTTTCTCACAGATTTAACAAGAGGTTGGAGTTTGGGGTTTGTACATTGAGCTGTCATCTGTGGCTAATGAAAATCTCAGTCTGTGGCGGGATCCTCCTAAAGCTGCTAAAGGCCCGTCCTAACCAGGGGATTACTCTGTAACACGGGGGAGTTTCATTTCAGCCGCCGCATAAGTCATCTCAGCTGAGTGCCAGCATTGATAAATGGCTAAAGTCTGACGAGTGAAGACCATCAAAGGTTTCTGCTGCTACAGGTTCAGACTGACAACACGAGACGTTCTGCGACTTTACCCATCTTTCATTCTGACGTCTTTATGTCCTCGAGTTCTCCTGTAATAGCAAGGAAATCTCCCAAACCAAACAATTAAAGTATTCCTCCAAAGGAAATTTGAGGATTTCCTGAAAGATGTTTACAGGAGATGCATGATTAGGATTTACCTTCAGATTCCTGAGCTCTAGTTTGCAAATCTTTGTTTTTAAGAACTGCAACGTAGGAGGATGTAGGAGCTCTGGCCTTTATTTACTGAGTAGCCATCAGTTATTTTGATGCAGTTACTGTAAAACAGGGTTTGCTCTAAGTGACCTAAGTTAGCAATTTGTATGGTTAGCATAGCTAGCAGTGCTAAAACAGCTGTAATATAGGCGTCTACATAATAACGTTCTCGACTGGTCAGTTAGCAGTTTGGGCTAATCAGGCTAAAATTGGGCTTTCTTTGAAAGACTGTTGTTGTTATTGTTAGCATTTTGCACGATTAGCAAAGCTAGCTAAGCAAGATTTTTGTTCACGCATTTGCTAACTTTGAAAATGTTTAGCACAATTATTTTTTTCCAAAAATAATGTTTATGGATAAATTCTGTATTGTCAATTCAGATTTTAAATTATTTTGGAGACTTTCAGTTGACTCAAAAAACAGGCCAATTGCTGGAAAAATATATTTTGCATTTAATACAAAAAAGTTATTTTTATTTCTCCTCATCAAATTCACTAATAGTTGCTTTTCCATTTTAGGCAATAAATGCTTATTTTCTTATTTGCATCCTTTAATGTATTTCTTGTATTGCATAAAAAGTCTGAAGTGGTCAAATAAAAATGCTGCAGAGTGTTTCTGGCTTGGTATTTGTTAAGTTTGTTCCTGGAAAAAGGCTTGTAAACTTCTTGAAAACCATTTTAAATCACACCAAACACTCACCGCAGTGGTTTGTTTCCCTCCAGATTTTACCGGGGTGATTACCACATCGACGTCTGCATCAACGACTACCTCGACGTCTACTGTCCGCACTACGTGAGCCCGGTGTCGGACGATCGGGCCGAGCGCTACGTCCTCTACATGGTGAACTACGACGGCTACAGCTCCTGCGACCACACCGCCAAGGGCTTCAAGCGCTGGGAGTGCAACAGGCCTCTGTCGCCCAACGGGCCGCTCAAGTTCTCCGAGAAGTTCCAGCTCTTCACTCCGTTCTCCTTAGGCTTCGAGTTTCGCCCCGGCAGAGAGTATTATTACATCTGTGAGTATGAGGTTCCCATGATCTTCCTAATTACCCGAATGTTGTTGTTTGACACGTAAAATCTCTATATTACTTCAAAAATGGCAATTTTTGAAGTAAACTTGGGCAGATTATAGTGAACTAGATGATATAAACTTTAAGCAATTTCAGTTAGCTTAAAGCAGGGGTGCTCAAACTTTTTGAGACCAAGATCTACTTTTTCTCTCACAAGCCGGCTGAGATCTACCTCATGACATGAAGACATACAAATTATAAATTAAACCCTATTGACTAATTTTCTATGCAAATATACGTCTGTTACATCAGAAATGAGCACCCCTGGTCTAGGACCATGTCTGAGTGATAGTTTCTCAATAAAGATAAAATTAAAAAAGAAGACAAAAAGATAAGCAAAAATGATAAAACCACCATAGTATATAAAAAGTGAGAAAGCTCCAAATAAACACAGATAAACTAATTTTAACATCAATGGTCCCCATATATAGTTTTCAAAATAAGAAAACACATTTTCTGTCGTAATTCCTTCAGAATCAATGACCATTGCTATATAGAAAAAGACGACACAAAGAAAAATAGAAAGAAAAAACAAAAACTCATAATAGTATATAATAACCCAGGGAATGAGGAATAAAGGCAAATAAAATAATAGTAAGAACATTGACCCCTGTACGTAGCCTTTTAGAAGAGAAAACCAACTTTCCTGGGTGGTAATGCTTTCAACCTCTTGAAACGAAACTTCTTCAGGCAGGCAACTTTGTTCTTCTAGAAGTTCGGATGCATCATTCCCTGGGCCTGTGCTTTCTTCATGCATACCGGCACCAAATGTCGTCTTCTTTACAACTAAACTCAAGTCTTCAGACTTGAAGTTTTCTGTTGCAAAACTAACTTCCCCAGCCGGGGAAGAACCGAAAGTATTGTCGTTGCTAGACATGCAAACCTCCCCAGCCGGGGAGGTTTGACTCGCTGTCGGGGACTGATTGGGAAAATAAGCATAAAAAAGAAGGCTTGCTTCTCCTACTGAGAAGCAAACGTCCCCAGCCGGGGAGGTTTGCTTCTCAGGCGCAGATAGATCAAAAAGAAAAGAATCAATCTCATCATAAGCTGAGAAGCAAACCTCCCCAGCCGGGGAGGTTTGCTTCTCAGTTGAGGAAGGCAAGGCAGGAGTGAAAAGAAAACGATCAAAATCATCATATGTCGACGAAGTGCTGATGTCCTGAGACCTATCTCTCTCGTCTTCTGTACCAGGCCATATTTTGTCACACAACTTCTTCATTGTAGTTGTAACGATGTACCCAATGCCAAAACCGATGGGAAAACATAAGACAAGTAAAAATTCTGCCATACTGAAATCCTTCCGAAAAAACAGTGGTAAGGTCCGAAGAGTTGGTTGGATATGAACTAGTGTTTTGAAACAGAAGCATTTATAACCGGAGGTGTTCTTTGATCTAGAATCGCATGTCATAGATGATGATGTCATAGATGATGATGTCATAGTTCTGGGGAATGACTTGTTCTGCTCATTGCTATGGAAACGATCAGATCAGTTCTGCATGACCCAAACTATTAACCCTTTGCAACAGCTTCACTCATTCATTCGAGGTGCCATGATGTCGTGGACATTCAATTAATGAGTCACATCAAAGTTCTTTGATGGTCGTAAAATAGCTATGATGTTTGATTCTGGGGAAGAAAGTGTAGGAAATGTTTTATGGGTTGCTTTTAGCCCGAAACTATATGGGGCATCCTTGGGGCAACCCGAGTCACTAAAACCAACCTGATTGGGTAGGCGGGGTGGTCTGCCTGGCCAATGGGAAGTTTGGTTTCCATGAATGTTTAGACCAATCAGAGAGCGGAATGCCACAGAGGCTTCTCCTTCTTTCCCGTGTTGGCAGCGTTGATTGTGAGCGGGAGATCCGACCCTGATGAGACAGCTGAGACAGAATCAGTTTGTTTTTTTTCCTGGATTGTTCCTGGAGTGGATTCCTATGTTGACCTTGATGGTGAGCCTTCCCACCTGGACTTAGAAAGAACTGGATTTCCTCCCTTGCATTTGGAGCCCTGCTGCACCCTGCGGTGTGGTAGGCAGTTATCACTCATATCTTCGCACAGTCGGTTACGTATGAGACACTGACTGACATTTTTCGTTATTGTTTCCTGGAAATTTTGGACATTGCTTTTCGGACCGTTTTCTTTTATTTGACATTACAACAAACTGCTGTGCAGGAAATTCTCCTCATATGAATGATGTTGAGTGAGACCTGAATGGGAATTAATTTGATTGATTTATTGTTTAAAAAGATTAGAGTGCAGATCACCAAACAGATTTAAAATTGATGTTTAGCACTTGGCCAAGTATTGTTGTTTTTATTTTATGTATTTTATTGTGTGTAATTTTATTTTCTTAACTGTGTGTCTTGTCCAATTGTGAGTTTATGGTTTATGTTACTAAAGCTAATTGTTCTTTAAATTCACTCAACTGTGTTTGTGTGTCATTTAAACACCCATCGTGCTCCGACAGCCGAACCTGTTGGCCCATCTATAGAAACATATTGGACCCTTCTTTACTGTGTTACACAAGCAGATTTAAGAATGGACGATAATGTGGAGATACCAGTGGAGACATAATAAATCTCTACAAAGGCAAGAATTTCGATGAAAAAATCTGGTGAGATTTTTTCACACCTGCCCAGAAATGCCACTATGATGGAAATCCTTCTGCATGTTGGAGAAAATGTAGAAATCAAGACGCAAATCATCATTATGTCTTCTGGGACTTCCCAATTATAAGAGATGACTGGAAATAAATAAAATATATTTTTAATGATGTAGATGCCTGATTCGCTTCGGGACCAAAACTGAAATATTTGTTACATTTTCAGCTCCTGTTCTCTTTCTCTCTGCTCTGAGTCAAACCAACCGAACCCTTTCATCAACCTGTTCCCCTCCTCACCTGTGGGGGCGCTGCACCAAGAACCACTGAAGGAAACAACACAAAAACCTCTGAAGAAGAACAACTTCCTTCTTCACCAAATGGAAACAAAAGTGAAATAGCGTCAGATTTTAGCGCTTGGAGAGTTTCTCTTTTGTCTTTGGTAAAAAACCAGGAGTCATTTCTCCGTCTAAAGTTTTAATGTTGTTATACAAGAGACGTATGTTGAAACAAACATTGGTGATCTAGTGTTTACGGTATTAGCTGAGGCTAACACTTTTAGTAGCCTCAGTAGTATTAGCTACTAATGGTGCTAATACTAGCAGATAAGAACATTAGCAAGAACTAGCACAATATGCAAGAGCTAATGCAATATGAAGGAACTAATACTATTAGCTAAAGCTATCACCATTAGCAGGAACTAGCACTATTAGCTAGGGCTAACACAATAGATGTAGCATAAATTGCAAGAGCAAACACAATTCACAGAAGCTAACACCTTTAGTAGAGGCTAATACAAAATCAAGACAAACTGGAAAATAATGAATTTGTTTTTTAAGTGACAAACAGTTCAAATTAGAAACTGGATGCCTGTGCAGCTGAGCAAAACTGAAACTTCAAACTAAGAACAGTTACAAGTTTAAATCAGTAAACATGCCATTAAATCCTTATTTTAATAAATAAATGTTTAATATGTCACTAAAACATTAACATGGAAATTATAACATGCAATACACGTAATTAATCAATCAGCATAAATTTATGTCAAAGTCACTCATCAAAATGGTCAGTTAAATCTTGTCCCTTTTAACCTTCCATACATGAGGAGACTGATATTGTTGATATCGGCTCAGCTTTCTGCTCGTCGTGAGAAGACTCACCCAAACATGCAGCGGGGAAGTCGTGTTTTCATAAGTGAAGTCAGCTCCCTGCAGGGAGAGAAGCGCAGGACTAAATAAGACACAGTGGTGGGTTTGGAGATGTTTGGCTGACATTTGAGGTCAGCCTGAGACTTCAAGGGCTTTAACAGGAACCCGTAATAAAGCGGAGCGAGTCAGTGATGTTTTGGCACCAGAGCGCAGAGGAAAACAGGGATAACCAGATACTCTGAGGAGGAGGAGGTTGTTTTTATATCCATGTACCCCCTGCTGTCCTCCTGAAGCTTCGCAAACGTCCCTTTGAATTACAGTTGGGCAATAAATTCAATTTGATCAACTAGTGAAATTATACCTCTGGAGAATATGGATGTCAGTGTAACCAGGGCGGAAATCATTTTTGTTTTACAGTTTTTATTTGGTTGAATTTTTAATTCAGGTCAAGTATAAAACAAAATACTAGGATCAGATTAAGTCTGTATAGCAAAGCTTGTTGCAATTTATCAATTAATTGCATGATAAATTAAAACGCATGATGTTTTTAGTCTAGTCCTAGGACATTTAAAATAAGACAAAACTAACTTACAAGTAACTTTTCAGCAAAATAAGCAAATAATTAAGTTTGAGGTCAATCATTTCTTAATATTGACAATAAAAAGTACTAGTTCTATTTGCAGATTATTTCATTAATAGCAGGAGGAAAATGCTGAATATTCTCCCAGTGGAATCAGCAGATTTTCATCAAAATGAAGGAAAAACCACCTTAAGCAAGTCGCTTTGTCTTGTTGAAAACTCAGTTTTGTTTTGTTTCAAGTGAACAAAGATATTTGCACGAGCAGCTAGACAAAAAAATGCTTGGTAAGGTTTTGTGTTTTTGCAGTGTATCTCTCTTTCTACCAAAAACTGGATGATAAAAGTCTTCAGTCTGGTTCAACTAGCCAATTTTTTGAAGGACAATTTTGTTCAATATTCACTTTATTTGTTGTTTCTGTTGTTATTTATTTGGATATTTAAAACGTCTTCCAGCTCCAGTGTTTAATGTTCTTTAGAATTTAAAATTTATTGATCTGTTCTTGCATTGTTATGCCATTATCGTTATATTGCTTCAAAATGGTCTCAAAACAGCAAAATTATTGTTTATCGCCAAAATTACTGGGACAATTTATAACCCAGCAAAATAAAATGAGGAATGTTGA